CTGTTAAAGTACACAATACAGAGAGAAATAGTTCTACTGTTATAGTACACAATACAGAGAGAAATAGTTCTACTGTTATAGCACACAATCAATACAGACGGAAATAGTTCTACTGCTAGAGTTCACAATACAGACAGAAATAGTTCTACTGTTAAAGTACACAATACAGAGAGAAATAGTTCTACTGTTATAGTACACAATACAGACAGAAATAGTTCTACTGTTATAGTACACAATACAGACAGAAATAGTTCTACTGTTATAGTACACAATGCAGACGGAAATAGTTCTACTGCTAGAGTTCACAATACAGACAGAAATAGTTCTACTGTTAAAGTACACAATACAGACAGAAATAGTTCTACTGTTATAGTACACAATACAGACAGAAATAGTTCTACTGTTATAGTACACAATCAATACAGACAGAAATAGATCTACCAATATAGTACACATTCAATACATATAGAAATAGTACTAGTTTTTGGCTCACCTGATCTGAAAGTTCAAGTGAGCTTTCCTGATCACATTTTCTCGAGCGTCCGTCAGTCTGTCTATCCGTCCGTCTGTAAACTTTTCACATTTTTGTCTTCTTCTCAACCCACTTGCCTCAAAACATCCTTATGTAAAGGGGGATTCAATGAAAGGCAACACCTTCTTTCAAGGGGAGATAATACCAAACCAATGAAAATTTGGTTCCATCTTTTAAAAATATCCTTTTAAAGAACCAATAGGCTAGAAAAGATGGAACTTACTTGAGACCTTTATTATACAGTGTAGATTCAAATTTGTTCCCATCTTGACCCTCCAGACAAGGATGGGACCACAACGGGGGATGAAATTTTTACATAAGAATATATAGGGAAAAAAAATCTTTTAAAATCTTGTTCTCAAGATCAATAAAGCCATGATTAGTCATATTGATATGGAAGTATCCTAAGCTGGTGTAGATTCTAATTTGTTCAAATCATGACCCGCAGGGGAAGGATGAGGCTACAATGGGAGATAAAAATTTTACATGAGAATAACCAAGAAAAAATCTTTAAAAATCATCTTCTCAAGAACAGTAAAGCCATGATTAGTCATATTGATATGTAAGCGTCCTCAGGTAGTGTAGATTCTAGTTTGTTTAAATCATAATCCCAGAGGGTAGGGTGGGGCCACATTATGGGGCACAAGAGTTTTACAAGAGAATATACAGGAAAAAAATCTTTTAAAAATTCCTCTAAAGAACAGCAAGCCATGATTAGTCATATTGATACGGAAGCATTCCAGGAAGAGTCTTCTAATCATTACTCCCTGGGGATAAGGTTGTGCTTCATTGGAGGATCAAAGTTTTACATAAGAATAACCAGGAAAGAATCTTCTCAAGAACAACAAAGCCATAGTCAGTCATATTGATATGAAGCATCCTAGTGAAGATTCCAATTTGTTCAAATCATGATCCCAGGGGGTTGGATGCGGTCACAACAGGGAATCAAAGTTTTACATAGTAATATATAAGGAAAAAATGCTGATGAAGAATGGCAGGGTCATATTTGGCTCAGGTGAGCGTTGTGGCCCATGGGCCTCTTATATTACACAGTTATAGTTCTACTTTTTAGCACATACCGTAAGACAAGCATTTTATACGCATTCAATAAATCACCTCGAGGGTCGCGAAAAAACATATATATGCTCTCGAATATTTATCGTCGCGTAAATGTTATTTATCAGTTTTTTTAATAAATAAATAAATAAAATGACTATGTTCGCAGATTAATTCTAAATCGGCCTCATAATTAAAAAAATCCTTGGTTACAGTAATCAAAAGAGCAGAATAATTTTACTCTTATAATACGCACACAATCAAAACAGACAGATACAGTACAGAATCAATGCAGACAGAAATAGTTTTAACGTTTTGGTGTACACTCAATAAAGAAATAGGCCTATGCAGTTCTATCTGTGAACAATCTTGAGAGCCATAAACTACTCCGATATTCTTAATAAGAAACAATCTACTCGACTACATAAAGCTAATTTAAAATAATATATATTCTAAATATTAAATTTTAAATAACTAGGATTTTAAAACGCATGCACTTGTGAAGGTCAGAAAGGGTGGAAATTGAAGATATTTTCAAATTTAGTCGATATGCATTTTGATTCATTTCAATTTTTTTTCTTTTCATTTCCAATAAAGAAAAAAAAATATTCACGATTGGCGAGCATCCAGCATGTAAGTAAAACATATCTAACAGTTATCTTTCTTTCAAGAGGTATCTTACACCAATTTGTTATTTTCTAGATCTTAAAATAGATCTTAAAACATCTCTTTGGAAATCAGCATTGGAATACCGATATAAGCTATTAATTATTTGGTTTGTAATTTTTTTTTATTTTGGTCGGTTTAATTTCAGTTGGTTCAAATCTGAAAATTAGCTGTTTTTCTTTTCGCAATTTCATTTCAATTTCTTTTTTTATTATATGAGTGTCTGATATCTCATATTACGTGACATCTTTCTTGAAGATTTTGTCCATAAATTAAAAAAAAAAGATATTAACAATCATTTTTGAAAGTTCGGGGGGGGGGGGGCAGAATAAAAATTGACAATTTAAAAGTTTATTTTAAAAAAAATCCTACAAGGGGAGGAGTGAAAATGGGGGGCACCCTTTAAATGAACATTCCCAGCAGTGTAAGGTTATGTCTGGAAAAAGGTAAGTAAGACACCCCCACCCCCACCCCCCACCCCCGATACTATATGCATGCAATTTTTTCAAATTTTTTTTTTTAATTTAAAACATTAAAATATTTATCTCATTCTACATGATGTATTTTATTAATATTTACTTCGTATATTATGCATTAATTAACATCAAAACTTGAGTTCTAAAGTGTCTTATTTGCAATCATAACAATTTTTACAATTTCTCGGGAAAAAGTGCAAAACATTGTCTAAAATAATTAAGAGTTTATATTGGATATATGCTAAGTTATACTCCTGTGTATAATTTAACATTTTTCTGTTTTCTTTTTCTTCTTTTCTAGTTACTTTAGCTTTAAATTAATATTATTGATTGTGTAGTACTTCATTTTCAATAATTACACATAATTGTTAACTCTAAACATTTGACCTTCTTACACCTGTATGGGTATGATGTCTATTTCCAATCCGATTACATAAATGACTTTACATAATTAAAAAAATAAAATTATAATCTTGGTCTTTGAATTCTGAATTCAAGTTTCAAAAATACATGTTTCAAAGATCCAGTAAATAAGTATGTATTTATCAACAGTATTAATTTAGACGTAGTCAAATTTGGACACCACGAAATGCATCATTCATGTAAGTTACAGAATTTTTGTCCAGGAACAATTTAAATGAATAACAAATCTATAAAATGTTCAAAATATAAGTTAATTATGGCACTAATCAAGTAGGAAACTGAGGGGTAAAAAGGCAATCTTTGAGAGCAAACTCTTCCAAAGGCAACCTTGATCGTGTTTTCTAGCATATATATATATATATATATATATATATATATATATATATATATATATATATATATATATATATAATTTTATATATATATATATATATATATATATATATATATATATATATATATATATATATATATATATATATATATATATATCTTAAACTCTTCCAAAGGCAACCTTGATTGTTGTGTTTTCTAGCATACCTTGTGCGGCGAAATCTGACAGAAATGACATGTAAACTTGACAATTTCATACAGGAATAATAGTAATGTATGCCAGTTGGAGTTATCTCTCTTATCAGGTTATCAATGAACCTTAAAGAAGGTCATGATTTTTTTTTCCTAAGCAAACCTTTATACACTGGACAATTTAAGAAAAAAAATACGGTATTATTCTTACACAACGAACAAAAATTCTGATAACTATGTATCTTTGAATATTCTATTTTCAAAACTAATACTTTGTAGATGCGCTCTGATTAACGATTATGACTTTTATATGAATTCAAACAAATAAAAAAACCCGAGAATTTCTCTGTCCAGATGACATCTACGTGATAATTCACTAACACTTCTGTTGCAGTAAATTAAGTTTAACTTTTTACGTGATTGGCAATTTTGTTCCTGGTTTTCAATATTGTAAAAAGTGAATAGAATATACAACATTATATGATTAATAATTCATGAAACGTCGAAGTTCTCAAATCTTAAGTTTGGACTAGGATTTGACACCTACTAGTAACCTCATTTATAATCGAATTCAAACTTTGTGCTTGATACATAAATCGAAAACGCCCTCCTACTCCCTACCCCACCCCCAAAAAGTCAAATTAATATTATTCAAGGATAGTTTTTGTCAGACAATTTTGTCCAAAATAACATCATAAAAATGAACCCACTCGTTCAACATAAACACGTACACTTTCTGACAAAACAGGGAAGACTGACATCAAAATGTGTTTTTAAAAAGTAATAAATTAAAAAAAACAAAACAAAAACGGTCTGCTTCTGCTTTTTCTGCACAAATTGCATTCCACTGAGATTGTTAGAAGAAAAATGTACCCATGCAGTAAAGTATATATCATTAGACAACTGAGTCTCTCAAAATGCATTGACCCGCTTATTCGATGTATAAAAATAACTTTCACAACAAAGTTTTAAGCCTCTTTATTCTATCTGTCTGAACTTTCTTTGACTTGGTCTCCAATTGTCTTTGTATTTATTAAAATTCAAAACAGATTTTGCCGGTCTTCTGTGACCTAAATAGGCAGTCATTGTTCAAATCACTCCACATTTTTGTGGCTCACTAAAAATTATGAATTAGATACCTATTTGGCTATCAATCAACGGAGTAAAAAGTGCGTACACAATCTACTTGGTAAATCTAGTCAGACTTTATAAAGAGGCTTACGGTGGGCATTGTTACGCCCTTCCCCATTGGTTGAAGTCATGGGGGTGTGACGAAATCACAGGCCTTGTTATTTTACCTACAGTGTTGTGTTAAATGGAATTCAGAACTCAAGTGTATTCATGTGTGCGGGCAATTTTACGAATGTTTAATAGCACACCTGTCATTATTAAAACTCAATCGAAGTGGAGGACCCACGAAATTTAAAAGACAGCTGTTTGGTATGGACCCTAATTATAATTTTAATCAAGGAGTTAATCCTCCTGAATCTTATAACGCAGTGCCCTCCACACAGAACATGCAAGGGACTAATATATGGACTGGGAATTATCCCAACTTTCCGCAAATGCAGCAACTCAACGCACAGCTCGGTGCAATGAATTTGAACAATTCTGGAACAAATTATTTGGATGCTTACATGTCCATGGCAAGAAATGACGCATCAGCTGCACCTAACAATGGACCATACATTATCGCGTCTGTACAGCCATCTCCGGTGACAATTACTCAAGGAACGCCCGGACTGAACATGCAAACTTTACAAGCCAACTTACCAACTAATGTTACGGGCTTTCCAAATGGACAATTTCCAGTACCACCCCAGGCAAACCAAGTTTCAGGTGTGATGACACCGGAGCAATTTGCCTTGTGGACGCTTCAAACAAACATAGCTCTTGGAAATATATCACAGGAAGCTTTAGTTAACAATCTTCAATCCATTCCAAAGGGTTCTGTGTCAGTGCCGATAACCGTTGCCAGTATTTTACCTCAGGCATCTCAAGAAGCCGTCTCGCCGACCACCTCCCTCAGTTCTAATTCCGCTCCCCAAACACCGACTACCCCAGGGACAGGGCATGTTTCCGAAGGGACACCAGGAATTGGAAGACCTTTGCACGTGCAGCTGAATGAAACCGGAAGTACTTCGTCCAGTTCCATGCCTGGATCGCCTTCAAGCATATCAGGACACTCTCTTCCGGAGACATCAACTTCCTGTCCTCTTTCTCCGGATTCTGAAAATGTTTTCTTAAATGGTGAATGGAAATCCGGAAATGTTCCCATTCGTTCACATTCTCTTAAATATCAAGTGAAATATCCTAAGGATAAGTGTTATAAATGTATGAAGAAGATCTACCCAATGGACAAAACGGGCCCAGTAAAAGACGCAATGTATCATAAAGGGTGCTTTGTTTGCAAAGTGTGTAAAACTCTTCTAAATATGAAGAATTATTACCTAAACAAAAATGACACATTCGACCATGACGTTTACTGCAAGTCGCATCAGCCCGTGGGCACGGGGAAAGGGACAGATGCGGACGCTGTTTTAATTAAAGGTTTAATGAATGTTCCAAAACTGGGCAAGGTAAATGAACAAATCAGAGGAGACAAAAATTATCATCTGGATGCCAATGCAGTAGAAATAGCCCATGCACGCAGTGTACCAGCACCCGACCTTCAAATGGCCAACAAGGTCAAGGAGAAATCATGGACTAAGGATCAGAGGAAGCCGGAAAGTGTTCCTCCGCCGAACGTGGTCCGATATAAGGATCCGGTTCCGGAATATGATCAGGAAAGTTATGAAAGATACGTGGTAGAAAACAACCCAGACTACTAGTTTTTGGATTTTTTTATACCTTACTTTGGGTAACAAACACAGGATTTTCTAAAACGGACCTCAAAATTTATGTCAGATTACGGGAAATCATCATACATTGTATCTTGGACCATCTACTTTGGCCATTATATGATTTAAATCGCTATACTTACAGTTTAAACGTTGTGTGAGATTTAAGCTTGATTTAAATTGTATAATGGAAAACAATCCAAAGGTTTTAAACAGAGGATTTATTTGACCCATTGCGTTTTATACAGTTTTGATTTCACTGGAGAAAATAGGTTGGCAATGGTGCGTGTAGTTAACAATAGGAACCTGAGGTGTCGGGCAGAGATTTAATAAAGCTGACCCTAGTCGCCAACACATGAATATCAGGACACCAAACAATAATTAATAGCTCCTTATTTCGCCGAATTGTCCACTGATGGTGGTTATAACGTCTATTGGTTGTTAAATAGTCGCCGAATTCGTCAGTACTTATGGAAAGTTTCACACCTGAAGAGACCCATTTAGAATGAGGACACCAGTCGAGTAATATCCTCAGAAATTCTCAATTAACGCACTAATAATTTTGGTGTAAATCAGTATCTACTCTTGTGTTAACATTTGACATGCATGAGTAACAGGCATATGATTGATATTATTATATTTACAAATATACAAGATATTTTATGTACAGCCTAATATTTGTAACGGGCATCAATCAAAATTAAGCACATGTTAATTATGAATGTGGTATTATTTTACTTATAACTGAGAGGCCAGAAAAAAAAACTACTTATCATCCATTTAAACATGACATACAGTGTATATAAGTATTTATAATGTACCTTTGTTATTTATTGTTTGCAATTGTTTATATACCTCAAAAATACTATTACGATGTGTTCTCGGTCTTATTTTTTCATCTTGATTACGATCTATGCAGGTCATCGTTAGAGTTTTCCCATAAGCACTGATATGTCAGCGACTACCTATTAAAGACGAAGTGCTTTTTTCTCTTCTGCTTATGTTTCTAATACAAAGGCAATGATGAGCTAGGGTTGCTCAAGGGTGCGGTGTCAAATTTTGTTATACAAAGTTGTTTGTTCTCATGCAGTTTAAAGTACATTTTTCATAATAAGGTGATGTGTATCTATATATATGTGTGTGATGTTTGGTAAGATACTGTATGTGTCCTTAAAAAAGCGGGCTTCATATTTTAGCGGCTTTAGTGCAGATAGCGATGCGCTAAAGCTGGGCACGGTGTTGGTACTTTTAAATCTGACTCTTTAGATGTCGTAAAGAAACTGGCGTTTTCAAGATGTTAAAGTTACTAGAAATTAAAAATGAAATTAATTATTTTATCCAAGGTAATAAATTATTCTAAAAATTTTCTTTTTAATAATTTGAAATTATTTTAGTTATGATACAACTCTATTCATTATTGGTTATTACGGCGAAATTCCCGTGTCCAACGTTACATAAATTATTGTTCGCGCAACTACAATATATAAAAAGATCCACTTCCAATTCTCTAAATTAAATGAAATTTAGGAAATACAGTAATTTATATGCATTCTTTGTGATATTGTGGAATTTTTAACATCATTTTCTCAATTTCATGAGTTTGGACTGAATCTAAAGTGCGTAAGTAAAATGTCCAACAGAAAAATATCGTTTCCTAAAGTTGACGTTAGCCCACATAGCGATGTGTACTAGACATAAATGCCAAACAAAGATAAATTTTGATGAATAATCCTTAAGTACATATGTTTCTAAAATTAGTTATGTTGATACATTTCATATTACTGCTAATACGTAAATATTAGTAAGGCTTTGTTAAGTGTAGCCATTTTGTTATGCACATACGAGCCGCTATACTATTACTTAATATGTCTAAGTTACATATCAAAAATACATAAATTAATGTCATATATATACCAATCATTACTGTATCTTGAAAGAACATTTCATACTGTATTATATAATAACATAATTTTTCGGTAATCATCTACATAAAAATTTATTGTTCTCCCTCTCTCTCTCTCTTTTGCTAAAAATGAGAATGACCACTTTCTAGAACAAATTTTAGCGCCTAGAAGGTAAATAACACAGAAAACTGTAAATGCAAATACAGAAATATTTTTATTATCAATAGTTTAAATTGAAACATGTTATCTTTCTACTGTAAGTTCTGTCAGAAACATTACGAACATAGTTTATTTATTACTTCATTATTACCTTGAATTGGAACTCGTTGATGCTTCTTTTCTTGCTTCGAAATACATTTTTTTCAGCAATTCTGTCTATTAAAATATTTAAAATATTCATCAAAGGTTTTTCGGTTGTTCTGACGATGTCTGCTCTAACCAATTCCTCGGCTGACTCCGCTACGCTCCATACAGTGTGCGAGGCATGAGCCACCCGAGGAACTCCTCATGTCTACACGTCTCCTGCTCTCTTTTGCAGGAGAGTTCTTGCATGGGAAGTAATTCGAAAATGGTGGCTGCACCTTTTTTTTAACTCAGTCTGATCAATTCAAACACTGTCAGAACGTGGGTGTGTTGGGTGCGATAGTAACCCCCCCCCCCTTTAAAAAAAATCACTTGAAAGTACATGTATAATGTTTAAAACAAAATAAATTCATTGTTTATCTGTTTTAAAACAATGCAGCTTTATTTTGTTTATTTGATGTGTGAAATAATTACTTCAAGAATGCACCAGAACCCACCCAAATGGTACCCATTCATAACCATTCATTAAAAAATCTGGCTCTGAAAAGGGAATACCCCTACCAAGACCCTTCCCTTTTCAGAAACCTGGCAAAGGCCCTGATTTTGTACATTTCAAGCTTTTTATATATACTTTTCATATACTCTATCAACCATATGTTTATGACCAACTTTAGATTAACTAAGAAGGTTTTATCCATGAAATCCATCTGCATATCTAGATCTATTCAAATATTGTCAAATATTGTAATTTTATTGTCCTTTTAACATGACATTAAGAGGTTTTAGCGAATATAAATTTTATTTAACGTTAACCAAAACCTAAGTAATAAATAAATAATATTTCTTTGATTAAGAAAAAAATGGCAATTTTACGATATATACGACCAGTTTGAAGTGTCCGTAGTAATTTTCCCAAAAGTTGACATTGCATGGTGGAACTCTGTCTATTTTTCCAGGTTATTTGTAATATTTTACATGAATGTATATCAGTTAATATAAGTCTGTGATGCACTCGTTACCCTGTCCTCTACTCGGCTGCTCTTTATCATGTCTAGGACACTCAAGGTCGTTTCAAAGGTTATCCATTTGTCGTCCGCCAGAACATTTACCCTGCTGGGTACAACATGAATATAGATCTGATGCTATGTATTACATGACAAAGAGAGTGAGATCCGGGTTATACCGTTTGAGTGACAGTTAATTTAAATGCAAAGTGATGAAATCTCGGTAAAAAGGCAGTCCTATATAAAACACAAAACTCTATACGCGTTTGGTTATGGTGCAAAGAGAATTCCCTTTATGGTAGTGTGTTAAATGCAACTCAGGCCAGTAGCAACTGTTTTCAAAGAAGGGCGGGCAGCCACAAAAATGTTTTTTACACATAGAAAAAAACCTGAATTGTTCAGGCCGGCTACAAAATAATATTTCGTGGGGGAAGGGATTAGGATCTGACACTTACTTATTTGTATTTCACTGCGATAATGTGAATGAAGTCTGGCTCTAGATCTCCAGCTAGTTTCCACTTAAACCAGAGCAAAGTATAAAAGGAACTTATATGGAAATCTGCGACGTATATAATTTTGAAGCGCTGCATTCGATAACCTGGAAACCAAGATCCGTTTCTTTATTTCAAAAAAAAAAATCTTAAATAAGCTCAAGGCCAAGCATTCCACAACAATTTCTAAAAATTTGTAGGAATGAGATATTTTTAGGGACTAACAGATAAACGGTTTTGAAAGTATGCTGAATGCATCATTACCGTGCAACTTCAGTGCAAATGTCATGAAAAGTGGATCTGTGACTGTCATCAATAAATTTCCTTACGCCATTTATTAGTCCCTACCAGTGAAACCGGAGGGGACTATAGGTTTCCTCTGAGTCTGTCCCTCTGTCTGTTTGTCAGTCTGTCCTTCTTGGTTTTCTGCACTTTTCTTCTAAACGCTTGCAGATTTTGAGCTGATTTTTGGTCTGTGAGTGTATCTTGATGAGTTACAGATCAAGTTTACTTTTCGTTCTGCTTCATTGATTTTTGACGGAAATACGGTCTTTTTAATTTTAAAGGGTTTTCCACAATTTTTTTCTAAACGCTTGCAGATATTGTGTAGAGTTGATTTTTGGTATGTGAGTTTATCTTGACGAGTTAAAGATGAAGTTTTCATTTTGTTCCGCTTCAATGATGTTTTGATGGAATTATTAAATTTTAATGGGAACCAGATTACATTTGCCGGTAGGGACTAGTATTGCTAATGCAATACTCTTAGAATGCTTGTTAATTTAGCAAGTAAACCGTGTGTTTTCCTTCATCCAGCAAAATCTCTGTAATATTCCCAGTATGAAGGCGTTCCATCTTTTTTTCCTGGTTTCGTTTGTTTGTTTGTTTGTTTTTTGAAAGTGAACTTTGATTAAAAGGTCCTTCCTATTATAAGAGTGTTTTGGTAAGTTTGCGTCAACGACATAATTTTTAATAAAACATGACCGAGAGCAACACAAGCGAAAGAGGGGGCATAAATCGTGATGTCCTTTTCCAGTCAGTGACTCGTGTGACAGGAACAAAACATATTTCATCTCCCTGAACCTAAGTCGCGTCCGCCGTGAGGTCATGCGGACAATGAAATTATTTATTGTACAAATTCGGCAATAATTTTTCACTTACTTATCAAAAAAATCTTGTCTTATTCAATGAAATGTCTCGTCACATGGCTGATCTGAAGGAATCTCGGGACGGCCTTGTTTATGTGGTTGTACACTGGTCACGGATAATATGTCAAAAGAAGTCACAACCGAACAAACACACGGGAAGATAAAACACCATTTATAAATCTGTCCTCAATGATTGAAAAAGTGATTTCTCTTCATGTATCATTAAGATTCTCTGATTTATTGAATGATGCGAAGAATTGTACTCCTTCAATTCTTGCCTGCGCACATAAGAAAAGTTGGAAATTTTAGAAAAATACTTCAAAGAACTTAGCATTTTTTGTCCCTGTAAAAGATGTTGAAAAAAGTGTTGTTAAAACTATAAAATATTCTGCGTAGAGAATATATGTTGAGTAATTTTTGCACATCATATAATAATCCAGGAGGAAAAAATCAAAGGAATACTTTGGTGAAATAGATTTGGCGTCACAAAGATACATACCAATTCTTTGCATTTTTGGACAAAAAAAATTGCTTTTAAATTAAACGTTGTTTTGTATTTGGCCTGTATCATTTAAAATACTAAACATGCTCATGTCCTAGCTGGCTTGAATTCAACTTTTACGCACGTATACCTTTTCTAATGTACGATATACACCTATCAAAAATCTTAAAAATTTTCAGGCAAAACTGTTAAAGTCTTTAACATATCTATCGCAGTCTTTCATTCTTTTATTTTTGTTTTGGTCTTGTTTGTTTGGTTTCTTTGGTAACAGTATGCATATGTTTATTCTAAAATGATAAACTGTACAGTACGAGTCCACTCACTGCAACATTAATGGTAAACATTATGTTATTTATTTAACAGACTTGACATCCTACAGTTACAAATGACTCCACTGCTACGATCCTGGGTAAGAACTTATACTGTTGCCGCTACTGTGTACCTTAAGTTGAAATTCATACATGTACCAATAAATATATTTGGCCATTAAATATTCATGATATTGGTCATTTTATTAGGTTTTGTAGAATAAAACTCTGTGTATTAAAAACCTACTGAAGAAGTTTCTATTCAACATTACAAGCCTTCTTCAAAATCTAATAAAACGTTTTTGCCAAAAAAGAATAAATTGGACAA